GAAGTCGCATATCTTATTAAGACTGTCTTTTTCTATGACAGGATCCTTGATAATCTACCTCTAGTCATTCCGATTCAAAGGCCAGACCAAGAAGCTCCTACTGTTTATCAGCTTGGATTCCATGTTGGGCTCAAAGGCCATTATGCTGGGGTATGTCCATCATTTGTTGGCACCAAATAATTTTCTTATTCGGGGATGATTATGTTTTTCTCTTTCTTACGCTATGTTATTGGGCTCAGAGCAAAGAAGAGAAATACTTCATCCACAACCATCTGGCATTTACCGTGAAGTACCATAAAGATATGCGAACTGGAACAGCAAGAATTGTGGGATTTGAGGTTAAACCATTCAGGTCAGTTTTTTTCAGGGCGTTCCCTTTCTCCTGCATGATTCCTTCTTGCTGAATCTTCTTTCTAAAGTATCAGTTTGACTGTTGAATGTCCACAGTGTTAAACATGAATTTGAAGGGAAATGGAATGAGTTAACTACCTGTGACCCCCATTCGAAACACTTTGTTCTTAATTCTAACTCTCCTCAAGAGGTTGCCGAAAAGCAAGAAATTGTATTTACCTATGATGTTGAATTCCAGGTGAGCTCATTAATTTAAAATTTTACTTGGTATTTTCTCATGGGAGAATTATAACTCATAATTTACTGTCTACTGTTTGCTTATTATAGCATCATTTATTTGTGTCATGAACTACTATCGTATGTCTATTGCCCTAATATTTCTGATGTAACGGTGTTGAACATACTTTGTCATTTGTGATGAACTAGTCATCTCATCGGATACTTCTTTTCATGTCTACCTGTTTAGGAGAGTGATGTGAAGTGGGCTTCTAGATGGGATGCTTATCTACGGATGAGTGACGACCAAATCCATTGGTTTTCAATTGTCAACTCATTAGTTAATGTCCTCTTCCTTTCGTGTATGGTAGCGATGATTATGTTAAGAACACTCTATCGTGATATCTCCAAGGATAATGAACTTGAGACCCAGGAAGAAGCGCATGAAGAAACAGGATGGAAACTTATCCATGGGGATGTCTTCAGGGCTCCAAATAATTTTGAATTGCTCTGTGTACATGTTGGAACTGGTGCTCAATTGTTTGGAATGATACTGGTGACAATGATATTTGCTGTCCTTGGCTTCCTCTCCCCATCTAACCGGGGTGGTCTTATGACCACAATGCTCTTGCTTTTTGTCTTCATGGGACTTTTCGCCGGTTATGCCTCAGTTCGCTTGTACAAGATGTTTCAGGGTACAGAATGGATGAAAATCGCATTCAGGACTGCAGTCATGTTCCCAGCAACTATCTCTGCCATTTTCATTGTCTTGAACACTCTGATTTGGGGCCAGAACTCATCTGGAGCTGTGCCATTTGGCACAATGTTGACCCTGGTCTATTTTTGGTTCGGAATCTCAGTCCCACTTGTATTTGTGGGAGGCTATGTTGGGTTCAGGAAGTCAGCACTTGAGGATCCAGTAAAGACAAACAAAGTCCCAAGACAGATCCCAGAACAGGCCTGGTACATGAACCCAGTTTTCTCAATTCTAGTAGGAGGGATCCTCACATTCGGAGCGGTTTTCAACGAACTATACTTCATCCTCACTTCGATTTGGCTGAACCAGTTCTACTACATGTTTGGTTTCCTCTTCTTGGTCTTCATCATCCTCATCATCACGTGCGCCGAGATCACCATCGTCCTCTGCTACTTCCAGTTGTGCAGCGAGGATTACTTGTGGTGGTGGAGATCATACCTCACATCCGGCTCACCGGCTCTGTACCTCTTCCTCTACGCCACATTCTACTTCTTCACAAAGCTCGAAATCACAAAGCTGGTCTCGGTCCTCTTATACTTCGGGTACATGCTCATCGCTTCTTATGCATTCTTTGTTGTCACCGGAACAATCGGCTTCTACGCCTGCTTTTGGTTCACGAGGCTCATCTACTCACCGTAATCCAAATGCTTTTGGTTCACTGAGGTTGTCGTTGTAAAGCAAACTTTATCTTGATCTAGACGTTTTCCTACAGTAGTAGTCTCGATTTGCTAGTAAAAACCTTGTTTGTGAAATATAATCAAAATTTATACTTCGTTATGATAGAGAAGATTGAAACAAAACTCATCGTATTCCAAATTTATGATTGATTCTTCAGCTGATGAGTTTATCGTCATCCACTATTGTAATTTTCAGTGTAATTTGTTCAAACCATTATATAATCTGCCCACAGCGCAGTTAGATTAAGGTTAATCAGATTGAGATTCTCTCAGGATTGAAGACTCCAAAATCCAGATCGTCTAAGAGAGATATCTGCACAAGGTCTAGACAATTTAAGTTTTTGAGGTACATCTGACTGCAAGTTAATCCACCAACAAGAAGCAGTCACGAGTGAATTGGTCAAGCAAACCTAATTCAAACGCCTAATTTTCCTTTTCCTTCCTTGAATTTATTTTTTCTTTTCTTTTAACAAAACAACCTTGAAGCTTCGATCTTAAGCTTCAAACTTCATGCACATGGTTGTACGTGTGTGACATTTTGGATCCTAGGCAATGGTTTATTTTGGCAAACGTAGAAATCTGTCCATATTAAAACATTTCGTCTTTCAAAAAGAAAAAAAAAATCAATAAAAGAAGAACGAAGAATCAAGCTCACTTACCTATCGAGTGAGCTTGATTCTTCTTCCTAAGAGCATTTCCCGCCTACGCCAATTAGTTGGATAATTGGGCAAAATCGTCCAAAAGAAGGAAAAAGATGATCTAGGTCACACCCAAAAGTCGGACAATTGAATGGACCTAACCCCACTCGACCGGTCAATCCGACGATCATTGCCTGACCTTGTGCCCAAGTGATTTGATGTCATGTTGACGTCAACCATGACTAAAACAGAGGGGATGGAGAAGGATTATCGCCTGACCTTGTGCCCAAGTCTCCAGCTCCTTCTTCAACAACCTTGGCCGCTTAGACGATTTCTTGGTTGGATTTGAGTGTGTTAAACCTAGCACAGTTCGGATTTTACTAAAGTATGTATAATGCTCACACTTGATTACTTTAACTATTTAAGATAGTGAATGAGATATGGATCATACATGCATCAACGACATGAATATACAACTGAGTCTAGCACAACTCAAACAATCAATATAGTTTTTCCAATGTTGATTCACATGTTTAAGGCACATATATTTGTTCATGATGTAAACTCGTGGCTCTCCTCTAAAGTAGAAATTAGTAGTGGCGCGAACCTACCATCATAAAGTAATGATATATATATATATATATATATATATATATATATGATAGAAAGGAAGAAAGAAAATATGAGGGTCCCAAGCCAATACAACTTCATAGAGAGGAGGGGTTTGATCGTTGATGTGCTTTTTTGCTTGGCAAATAGGGCAATGTGGGGGACTATATATGCCTTTGGTGTGTTTTGAAGAATATAAGTTGCACGTTTTGGGTTTGATTGATGGTGTTTGGGTTCACGTTAGAAGATTTTGTCCAGGTTTTATTGCTCTTAAAGCTCGACATTTACTTACCCACATATCAACCTCTGCTTCCCCTCCCTCCCTCTTTCACGTACACACGCTATAGCGTGAGAATGAAATTTGGCTCGTGTTCTGAACCCTAAGTAACCGAAATCCGAAATCATATGTGGGGGTGATCATCGAACTGTGTTCGTGTTACTTATTTATAATTGTGTTGTGTTTGTGTCAAGTATGTGTTGATCAATATAATAGAACAGTAGAATAATTCATACTACTCATAGGAAAAGGAGAAAAGTTGTGTTAATCATGTCTCGTCACGTCATATATTCGGACGGGTTTTGAGTCGTGTTAATGTGCCTTGTGTGAAATTTTTTTGGTAAATTGAAATAGTTTACGCTTAGAGTCATAATCATGTCATTTAAACCTAGATCGGGAAGGTTCAATTGGACTGCTTTCAACAAATTAAATGTTAATATAATATGAATTTTTTAATATTTATTGATATTTTCGGTTTGATTTGGTGCTTGGTTTGGTTGAGCGGTTTTTCTGTCCACACCCATTTATGAGAATTCAAACTTAAACATCGACTAAGTTTACAATTCATTTCATACTCACATATATGCTATTTACAAATCATTTCACACTCACTTTCTTTGTCCGTCCATCAAGTAGGAAGAGTGATTTTGTGTGGGTTCTTTTGCTTGTTTTGGTACAAGTAGATGAAGATGATGAACGTCCACTTCAAGTCATTACTCCCAAAGGATATTGGACAAGTAAACGATGCTTATCCTTCCCCTCCTTTTGTTCAAGTGGATGCATTCTCCATGCAAAGAACAAGAACCTCCTTGACTTGGGGAGGAGGGGATTAGAGAACAAACTGACAATTGTGCAACTTATATGCCAATGAAAAAGCCAATCCTATGACGCATGGTACGATAATGTTAAAGTTTTAGAGAGACGGGCTGCAATCTACCATTAATAGAATCGATATTGTCTCTAATGAATCATCTATGCAATCGATAGGTTTGGAGTTTCTATGCAAAAGGCCTCCTACAATTAGAAGTGGAACCATTTTACATAAGTTATGGTTTGTTTTTGTAAGATAGCCCATGTAAAACTTTTTACTTTATTCAGCACGCCCCCTCACGTTGAACCACTTTGGAGTGGGTCGGATGGAGAGCTACATTGATCATGTTTGTAAGTGAACTCAATAATTTGAGAACAAATCTGAAAATGCGCTTTGATACTATGCTAAAATATTTGAGAATGTTTGTGTATATTGTACTCCGTTATGGAGGAAAATATATATCTCAAAAGGCCTACAAAACTTGGGCACCAACTAAGGGCCCAACCCTAGTTCCTAGATTGGCAGCAAAACCAAACTTTCAACACCACACTGACGAGAGATTTTTTTAGTGTGATCGGCACACGATGTGGTATACCATATGTCATTATACAAATGGTGAAATTTATGTGTTAAAAATAACTAAAAGTGTTTTTAGAAAAAAATATTTTTGGATTCCAAAAGCACTTTAAAGTGCTTTTTCAAGATTCGCTTGCATTTTTATTAAAGATTGGTTCCAAAAATCATTTTCACCAAAGATAACTTTTTGTCACACCCCAAGTTCGAAAATAAGGATGATAATCGAATTAGGGCATGAATAGTATCTTAGAAAAAAAAAATTAATATTACAACAAAAGTATGATGGAACCAGAGCCATCTAAAAGTTCACTTAGACCTGTTTATTTAATACATCATGAGTTTAAAGAGTGCAACTCTTACAACACACTCTTAAGATACAAAGACACTTTATTTTAATTACAACTAGGAACCAACACACACATGATATGGCTATTCATTTAGAGATAGGTCATCATCAAGTTCCCCCATACTAGTACATGCAATAGCTAATAGGGTGTGAGCATTTTATGCCCAATAGGAACCATATACCCTTCAAGTTCATTTATCATAGTTAATCAAAGTGCCATGCATCAAACAATACGGTAAAATACAAATGATATGACAAAGAAGTACCCATGAACTCACTCCCTTCTAATCCCGCTAACTTATATTTATGGCATCCAAACCTGCATATCTCATACTATGCTTATACCTCTTGGTTTCAAACACCATAGAATATAAGTTAACTCTCATTCCTCCCTTAACCCTGAATTTTATTAGTAGTTTCAGTTTCATTAACATGGGCCCTTCCCCCGACGCCCAACTATACGTTCAAACCCTTCACCCGACGCTTGAACATATATAAGTTTTCAACACTTTGTTTAACCAACTTTACACAACCCAACACTTGACTCTATAACATGTAATGCAACCTGAACATTTTGATTTCAAATACAATTGTAAACCTCAACATATTCAATCCATCAATTTTACATAGCTCAACCATTCATCAAAACATAACAGCATTTAACATAGCCAATGTATAAAATACACCGGAAAAGAGACCATCAACCCATAACACAACCATGAAAATCAAAAGATCCAATTTCATCCAAACATTTCACTACTACTATAATAGATATAAGTACTAATATCACAAAGATTAAACATGATATAGACCTATCATCGGGAAATAGAGTCCCTACCTCGAGTCTAGCTAACTAGAATACCTCTCTAAGCCTCCGAAGTGTCCGGAGTCACTCCCAGGCCAAAAATCACATAAATAATAATAAAAGTTAGCATAAAACTAGAATGAAGATTCAATTTCAGCCTATCAAAAGTTTACTCAAATATACCCCAGTCACAACCTCGTGATGAACCAAGCTTCATTTTCATCCCTCAAAACTGCATGGAAAATGATGAAATTACTTGGATTTTAAATCTTAACAAACCTAGTTTCTAATCTAATAAGAATTTCTCAAAACGGATTTAAGAAAAGAAAATAATCAAGCTCCAAAGTAGAGTTCACAAACAATTTTTTTGCAAAAAATCTGCAGATTTCCAGATTTTTTTCACATTTCCAATCATTTTTTGTCCATAAAAGATCTCAACCAAAATCAGTGAAATAAATTGGGCTTTGTTCCTTGTCATGCCTAATTTCAAATATATAAGAAGACTTTTAAAAGCATGTAATGGATTGAGAGAAAACAAGAGCCAAAGTGAGGCTCACGAACTGCATGTTTCTAGAAATCAAAGTTGCAGTGGTAAGAAAATTAACAAATTTAAGCTAACCTTTTGTACCAATTGAAAAACACACCTGGCACCCTCTCAGTTCCCCTCTTCCGATTTCCTACTTTTCCCTTTCCAAAAGCTCTCGTTCTCCTCTAGTTCTTCAGTGAGAGTTAGAAATGCTCTCCCTAATCCCATCATTGCATCTTTGTTTTAGATGCTTACTCACTCCCCCTAGACTACCCACATCACCCCCAACATTTATGGATAGAATTTGATTATCTTGGTTTCCCACCGTGTGATGGTTGGGAAGAAGAAGAAAAGTTGGGATGTCTACACGTATAGATCATCTTTTGTCTGTTTCTTTGTTTTTTTTTTTAATATTTCAAAGCTAAAATAATCTTACTCCTATAATTTATATATATATATATATATTTTTTTTTTTCCAAGTGTTACACTTTTAACCATTTTAAAAGTACTTCCAAACAAGCTTTTGATATGATTGAAGTTGTGTTTAACTCTAATCCTATTGAGTCACACACCATAATTGAGACTGGTAAGACATAATAATATATCAGACCGTCACCCAGTTTGGAAAATCTTATCTCAGCATATACAAATTCACTAAACATCGACATTGATGCTAGACTAAATCTAAAATAGTTAAATCTAAGTCAAGCCATCAGAAGAGGACCATAACATGATATGATTTTGCATGAAAAAACTTAGGACATCTCCAACCAAAGGAGGGCCAGAGGGCTTGTTTTAGCCCTCTGGCCCTTCAAGAAATTAATTTTTTTAATGAACAATGCAGGGTCATATTTCTTACCATCTCCAATCGAGGGCCAACGGGCCATAGGACCAAACATAACCCTGTCACAAAAAACCATCTCCAACCGAGGACCAAAGGGCCAAACATAATTTATTATTTAAATTTAAAAATTACAACAACTTAAATTTATAGGAAAAAAAATTGTAAAAAAAAAAAAAAAAAAAAAAAAAAACGGCTAGCTGACGTCAGCTAGTTACTGATGCATTCAAATTGTGGCCCAGCTGGCTAGCTAGGTTGGGCCAGCTGGTTGGCCCTTTGACCCTTTTTTGTCCAGTGGCACCTACGAGCTCTTTGGCCTAGCCCTCGGTCGGAGACGGTTTTCGGAGTATTTTCGGCCCTCTAGCCCTCTGGACCCTTTAGTTGGAGATAGCCTTAAGGGTTTTAGTCGAGCCTTCTCGAGTTCAGTATGTGATAAGAACATGTTTCTTAACACATCGGCGTAAGTGTCCAATTGCAAAACTTGCCTAACACGTAAATATATAATATTTATTTATTTATTTTTCATTAAATTGGATAGATGAATAAAAAACAAGGGAATAAATAAATAAAAATTGGAAAAAGAAAAAAAAAATCAGTAGTGCATTAAATTGGATATATCGGTGTCCTACTCATATCTCCTATTTCCATATTCAAACCAAAATTTCAGGTATGCACTAAAGTGGCATACACATTGGTTTCACGTAACATTCATATATAGTTGATAAAAAAATACAAACGACAAGTCGTTGCGTTAACATAAAAGGGAAGGAAAGCTAGAAAGAAAGGAATTCCTAGCAAATTAGAAAATTCATTAAAAGGAAACGGATCTAATCAAATAGTGAAAATGAATTATTTACCCATTTGTGATTATCCATATTTTTACCATCTATATATGTCCTAATCAAAATATTTCAATTTCTCAACTATCATATAAATATTGTTCATGAAAAACAAAATCAATCAAGTCTGAGATCGTCATGTTAACGGTCTTAAAGTAGTAATATATCGTTTGAAAAAACATTAATCAACTCAGAGATCATACAGTCATATTCACCATCTTAATAAAATAAATCAATAAAATATTTGAAACACAAAATGTTGTGCGTGAGCAAAGTCTTATACCCCAAGACAATCCATCATTAAATGATCTCAAACTTGATCTTTACATAACGATTAATAAAATTAGCATGTATGACATGTATACAGCAAAAATTTGTTAATCACGATCATATGAAATAGTTCACAATGCTCAGGCCGGGCTTTATACCATAGTGGATTTCCTTTATAATCCAGAAAATGGATAACGTGCCTTAAAAATTTTATTATTATTTTTATTTGCACCGTCATTTGTATTATCTATCATATAATAAAACCTATACACGGATTTCACAGGAGAGAGAACCCGGAGTCCACCCACCTTGTAAGCTTCCAGTCCCCTCCCTCCCCTGTCCCCTTTTTAATATATATTTTTCCTTCAACTCTAATTTTTTTATTTTTTAGTTAAAATTTTATTTTATTTCTACGCAACAGACAAATACGAATCCAACTATTAAACACCATTACACCAACCAATAAACTAACTCCTCCTCCTTCGCCTCCTCCTCCAGATCTACACACCCCTCCTCTTCTCTCTCAGTTGGAGGCCATGGCATCTCATAGATCCCTGGCGGTCCTGGCGATCTCTGCGATCTTCTTACTTCTCGTCCATGGCGCCCACTCCTTCTACCTCCCCGGCGTCGCTCCGGAGGACTTCATCAAGGTCAGCTCCTAATCGCCGACAAATCTAATCCGTAATTTCATTTAATTTCGATTTTTTGTTGAAATTTTACGTGTTTGTGTATGAAATGAGTGATCTGCGTGTTCGCTGTTCGGATCTGTGACCTAGTGTTAGGTTTCGTCCGTTTGGTTGCCGAGAAAATGGAGGAAAATAGAAGGAGAGGAGATTAGGTTATCGTGAATTCGATTGGGTGCTGCTTTTCTATTGAAATGATTGTCGAATTAGGTTTAGTTGACCTTTCAAATCTTGAGATTTGTAGGTTTTGATACGTGTTCTTTTGCTTTGTATATTTCTTCGATTTTCTTAGGATGTGTTTTATTAATACTTTGATGCGTAGAGCAATGTAAGTGTGAGAGTAATTCGCGGCACATCAGATCTCGGTTGGTCCGATATCGATCTGTATATGCCCTAAGCAAGTACTGTAAGAAGATCGTCATTTAGGTTTCACCGGATTACAAATGTTGATTGTGGAATTTGAATTATTTCTCGTAAATCAGATTTGAAATTTTGTCATTGTTTTACTTCACTTGACTGAGACGCAAAGTGCTTTGCCTCGGTGGATGCTTTGTGTTAATTTCGATATCTTGGATCTTTCAATGCAGGGAGATGATTTGAAAGTTAAAGTGAACAAATTGACTTCTACAAAGACTCAGCTTCCGTACTCATATTACTCTCTCCCTTACTGCAAACCTGATAAAATTTTGGACAGTACAGAGAATCTTGGGGAAGTGCTCCGTGGTGACCGGATCGAGAACTCCCCCTATGTGGTTTGTGTTATTTCACTTGTACAACGCTATGGCTACTTGTTTCTCCTATGTTCATATACTTACAACGGGATTTGTGTAGTTTAAAATGCGGGAGCCTCAGATGTGCAACATTGTCTGCCGGTTAACACCTGATGCCAAAATTGTAAAGCAGTTTAAGGAGAAGATAGATGACGAGTATCGAGTGAACATGTATTTTTCTGACACTTTAAATGATTTATTCTTTTATATTAGAGGAACTGAAACGAAGTCGCATATCTTATTAAGACTTTCTTTTTCTATGACAGGATCCTTGATAATCTACCTCTAGTCGTTCCCATTCAAAGGGCAGACCAAGAAGCTCCTACTGTTTATCAGCTTGGATTCCATGTTGGGCTCAAAGGCCATTATACTGGGGTATGTCCATTATTTGTTGGCACCAAATAACTTTCTTATTCGGGGATGATTATGTTTTTCTCTTTCTTACGCTATGTTATTGTGCTCAGAGCAAAGAAGAGAAATACTTCATCCACAACCATCTGGCATTTACTGTGAAGTACCATAGAGATTCGCAAACTGAAACAGCAAGAATCGTGGGATTTGAGGTTAAACCATTCAGGTCGGTTTTTCCAGGGCGTTGCTTTTCTCTTGAATGATTCCTTCTTGTGGAATCTTCATTCTAAATTATCAGTTGGTAATATGGTTTGTTTGTCTGTTGAATGTCCACAGTGTTAAACATGAATATGAAGGGAAATGGAATGATGCAAAGACTCGTTTAACTACCTGTGACCCCCATTCGAAACACACTGTTGTTAATTCTAACTCTCCTCAAGAGGTTGCCGAAAAGCAAGAAATCGTGTTTACCTATGATGTTGAATTCCAGGTGAGCTCATTAATTTAAAATTTTACTTGGTATTTTCTCATAGGAGAATTATAATTCATAATTTACTGTCTACTGTTTGCTTATTATAGCATCATTTATTTGTGTCATGAACTAATATTGAATGTCCATTTAACTAATATTTCTGATGTAAATGTTGTTGTACATACTTTGTGATTTGTGAGGAACTAGTCGTCTCATAGGATACTTCTTTTCATGTCTACTTGTTTAGGAGAGTGATGTGAAGTGGGCTTCTAGATGGGATGCTTATCTACTGATGAGTGACGACCAAATCCATTGGTTTTCAATTGTCAACTCATTGATGATTGTCCTCTTCCTTTCGGGTATGGTAGCGATGATTATGCTAAGAACACTTTACCGTGATATCTCCAAGTATAATGAACTTGAGACCCAGGAAGAAGCGCAAGAAGAGACAGGATGGAAACTTGTCCATGGGGATGTTTTCAGGGCTCCAAATAACTCTGAATTGCTCTGTGTATACGTTGGAACTGGCGTTCAGTTCTTCGGAATGATACTGGTGACGATGATCTTTGCTGTCCTTGGCTTCCTCTCCCCATCTAACCGGGGTGGTCTTATGACCGCAATGCTCTTGCTTTTTGTCTTCATGGGAATTTTCGCTGGTTACGCCTCTGTTCGCTTGTACAAGATGTTTAAAGGTGCAGAATGGAAGAAAATTGCATTCAGGACTGCAGTCATGTTCCCAGCAACTGTCTCTGCCATTTTCATTGTCTTGAACACTCTGATTTGGGGCCAGAAATCATCTGGAGCTGTGCCATTTGGCACAATGTTTGCCCTGGTCTTTTTATGGTTCGGAATCTCAGTCCCACTCGTATTTGTGGGAGGCTATGTTGGGTTCAGGAAGCCAGCACTTGAGGATCCAGTGAAGACAAACAAAATCCCAAGACAGATCCCAGAACAGGCCTGGTACATGAACCCAGTTTTCTCAATTCTAATCGGAGGGATCCTCCCATTTGGAGCAGTGTTCATCGAACTATTCTTCATCCTCACTTCGATTTGGCTGAACCAGTTCTACTACATCTTTGGTTTCCTCTTCTTGGTCTTCATCATCCTCATCATCACATGCGCCGAGATCACCATCGTCCTCTGCTACTTCCAGTTGTGCAGCGAGGATTACTTGTGGTGGTGGAGATCATATCTCACATCCGGCTCATCAGCTCTGTACCTGTTCCTCTACGCCACATTCTACTTCTTCACAAAGCTTGAAATCACAAAGCTGGTCTCGGCCCTCTTATACTTCGGATACATGCTCATTGCATCGTATGCATTCTTTGTTGTCACCGGAACCATCGGCTTCTACGCCTGCTTTTGGTTCACGAGGCTCATCTACTCATCGGTGAAGATCGACTAAACTCAAGACCGGGTCTCGGCAAGGTGTGATCTCCTCTCTCCCCCCCTCCGGAAGATGCGAACAGATGATAATCTCTCTGAAGTAGTGTAAGATTTTGCAGTTAACTTTGGATTATTGTGCTTTCGAAATGTATCTTATTTGTGCTCATTTTTGAACCATGACAAAAGCCGACAACGTTATATTTACTGTTAGAGTATATTTCTATTTGTTTATTTTTCAAGGCTACTTCTACAGTGCCAATTGTTACTTGTCTATTTTATTATTTATTTTCCTCTGATCTTCATGGTTCTAATTTCCACGTTACGACCAATAAAATGTATCTGGATCCTCTGCGGAGAGACCGGAGCCCTTGATTTGTGTGAGGTGAGGGGCTCGTCT